CTTTGAAAGAACAGGAACTGTCTTTTATTGTATCTAGTCTACAAGCATCTGCGCCAGCTACTTTCATTATCTTTATTGATGGACATTATGTCATTCAACTCTACAGACTTTGTTCTAACTGGAGATATCAACAGTCCTACTTATGCAGCAGTTCTTGGTATTGAAGGAGTCATTGGTATAATAGTTAATGTAGCAGTGTTACTAATGACACTGTATCAAAGGAAATCCTGGAATCAATCATCAACAATATTCTTCACTTCTCTCCTACTGTCTAACCTCATTATTGCTCTATGGTATTTGATATCTTCTATTGCAGTAGGAGCTGAAGAATGGATCTTTGGGAACACTTTTGAGGAAAAGAATGCAACATGTATGCTTGTAGCTTATATCATTTGGTATGGCATTATGGATATTTCTGCAACATTAGCTGCTATATCTTTTGATCGGTTTCTGTTTATTGTGAAGCCTTATCTTCACAAGCGGTTCATGAGACCACGAGTAGCTCTGATCCTGATTACTGGTGTGTGGTTGCTGTGTTCACTAATAAATACCATACCATTTTATAGTACAGGTGGATATAGGTATTTTCCTCATAGTGGTATTTGCTCATTTTTAAATAGAACATCGGCATATTTTGTAGTTCTGATAGTAGTGTATGCTATTATTTATTCTATAATAGCATTTACATCTATTTGGACATTCTTGTTCACTCGTAGCTTCATAAAGAGGCAGGGTCGATCAGTTGATAGAGGTGTGTATCAGTCTAAGAATAAGAGGCTGTTTGGAATTTTTGGTTCAATGCTTCTATTCTACATCATAGCTTTACTTCCATCATGTATTATTATTTTCTCTGTCTTCTTTGACCTACCTGATGGTCTGTATGCTTTTAGCATTTGTACATATGGGTTGGTTGCAATAATAAATCCTCTCATTCAATCATATTTTAGGCCAGAGGTAAAGGCAACTTTAGTTTTAATTGCCAGTAAAATTGGATTAAAGTCAAACAAAATTGGTACTAGTCAAGCCACAGCTGGTTGACTTTATTTTATTGGTTACTAATCAGTTTCAGTAGTAATTATTAGATATTGTGTCTTCATTATGTTTCTGTTGCATTATCTTTTATGTATTTAAACATGTTTTTGTTAAAATAACATAACATTATTATTAATGAGATCATTTTGATGACTTATTACCTTCATGAATGTATTTCAATTAAATTGAAAGATATTAATTATTAGTATTGTATTGCCTGCATAGGAAAAAATACATTGATATAGATTACTGGAGACAATGATGCAATATACCAACCCAAAAAAGTTGTGGTTTTTTATTTATGATGTAATCATTAAAACTGCATTTCAATTTATTTTTAATTGCCTGTGGGCAATTAAGCGGTCTTTATGGGTAAATAACAAGCTTGCTATTTTCTTTCAGTGTTGCTAATGTTAACATGGGGACATTTGTCTTGTTCTGCTATAAAATAAAGAGAAAGATGATGTATACCGCACAAGATGATTATTTGGCAAGGAATTAATATTGGTGATTGGCAGTTCTATGAAGAAGTCACCAATATAAAATTCGCCATTTTGTTTCAATCTGAGCATGCTCAATGGCACTTGGCACAAAATTGCCAATATAAAATCTGCCAGTTTCTTTCCAAAGGCAAATCCATCAAATATTACTCCCGTTGATAATTCAGCTTGTATGGTATGTAGGTCCACAATATTTGCCAGTGGTATGGTTGGCAGGAGTCAAAGTAAGCATCTTCTTAGTACATAAGAGAGCCATTCGTCTAATCATGGACACTATCCATGCTATAATCAAGCAAGACAACTATCATTATGATGCTATGAAAGTCATAATCAAACAATTATTGTATAATACTTAGTGGGCGTATCAAAGAAGCCGCCAGTGTTACAAAGCTTAATGTATCACTGTGGTTTAGTAGTTGTCACATTGTGGTTTTGAGGTTAGCAGTAATACACCAGACTGAATTATTGATTAAATACATGAATAAATGATTGAATAAATGATTGTTTTGCTTTGAATGTCAAAATTGTTAATCAAGTTTAAATGTGCAATTACTGAAGGAGCATCCACTGAACATAGCCGGGTTCACTTTAGGACCATCTTTGCTTTCATCCTCATTTCCATCGTCATCTTTGACATCACCATCACATAGCAGTTGAGATGTTTCTAGTAACTGTTCATTTGTACTCTTTTCATATACTCTTAATGCTGTTAATGATCAATGGCCAGACCTCTCCTGAATCAATTTCTCAGGTACGCTTTTCTTAAACATTGTCGTTACACCAAATGATCGAAGACTATGGTTTGTTTTATTGCCCTCAATACTCCCAGCAGCACACATATCCTTAACCATTGAAGATAACTTATTCTTTCCAATTGGAACAGAAGTAAACCAGGGCTTTCCTTCAACTATACTTGATAATGGGCGTACATAGAAGTTATCTTTTTCTATAGCTTCTCTAGGAACTTTCTCAAAGTACTGGTCAAGTATATGAACATAATCTCGAGAGCCTGCCTCCGGAACCTCAAAGTGACGCACAACTTTGTTATCAAGATGCAATTGACCCATTCCTCCACCGTGATTTTTTGACCCTTGTTCTGTGTATATGTAACATGCTCTTTCTTTGCCATCAGCTGTTGCAGTTTCACGAGTAAATTGAGAAAAACGAAGGAGGCGATGTTCATTGCCTCCTCTCAAACACAGATACTTGCCATTATAGAAAAAACGCAATTTAGTAGTCCTTCAGGAGTAGTCAAATTGATTACATTGCATTCCCAAAGCTTTGCTTCATCTTCATCAGTAAGAGCATCGGCATGCTTTGACTTTGTACCAATACCTTGTTGATGAAGTGTACGAAATTTGTGATCACAAATGTTATGAAATAATTCAAAACAACTGTCGCTGAAAATATTAAATGACAAAGAACGACCTTTATGTTGCCTCATTACACATTGAAGACCAGCAATCATTAAATAAATTGACTTAGGAGTATATTCTTTGCCGTCCTCCTTGCGCGTTTCCATA